CTACTCTAAAGAGTATATATACTTGTCTTACTATAAGTAAATACCTTATAAAAAAGTATATTAATTATATATTATAACTATAGAATATAAATATATACTATAACTATTAGTATAAGCTATTTCTAGAAAATATAGCTATATACTATACCTATAAACTATTTATATAAACTATAACTATATAATATAACTATAAAGTATACTTATAAAGTTTAATAAATAATAACTATAAAATATAACTATAGTCTATAACTATAAACTATAACTATAAAGTATAACTATAAAGTATAACTATAGTTAATAACTAGGAATAATAAGTATAAAAGTATAAAAATAAACGTATAAATATAAAAGTGTACTTATATAAGTTATAGTTTATAGTTATATATAAGTTTATTTATTATAAGTATAGTAAATAACTATATAGTCTATAGTTATATAAAGATAATAATAATTTTATAGGTTATTTATATAGTATAATTATATATATTAATATTATAAACTTAATTAATATTTATATAATTAATACTTAATATATATATTAATTCTCTTAAGTGTTATATACTATATATAACTATAAGACTTTTTTTCTAAGTACTTCTTTCTCTAATTAGTATATTATATTAAGTATTTATATATTATAATATACTTTATATAACTAATAGATATATACTATAGTTATAAGCTATATAACTTTATAAAATTATAACTTTAATTTTATAAAGAACTTTAGTATAACTTATTTATAGTAGATTAGTAGTATATTATATATAATATAACTATATATAACTTATATTATACTCTAGGTTATATACTTTATAAAGTATAACTTATAAGCTATAACTTATAAGTATAATATATCATTTTTATATCTAATAATACTATTTAATTATACTTAGTTAAGTAGTTTAAATTATAAATACTATAATTATTAATATTTAAGATCTTAAGATTTATAGCTTTTTACTTTTTAATTCTTTAGGTTTTATTACACTGATAGATACTACTATATTATTAGTAAGTTATACTTATTACTAAGTAGTAATAAGGTTTTTCTTTAGATATAGTCTTTCTTTCTATAAGAATATAGAAGAATAATAAAATATTAATACTTTTAATATATTTTATTCTTATACTATATAATATAATACTATAATATAAGATAAAGATATTATAATAAGTAACTATTACTTTATATATTTTATTAGACTTTAATATAATAATTAATAAATAGTAAAGAAAATAGTAATTATTAAGACTTTAAAGTAACCACTTTAGTAGTTTTTATTATTATATTCTACTAAACTTAGTCTATAACCTATACTAATATATTATATAATAAAATACTATTAGTAATACTATAGAATATAGTATTAGTTATAGTCACTATAACTAAAAAGAAAGTAATATAGATTAAAATAAAGGTTTTACTTATTATATTAAAGAAGTAAAAAATATTATACTACTTATATTATCTTAATTACTTTATAATATTAAAGTTAAAAGTCTTAAGAGTAATAACTATATAACTAATAGTAAATAATAATATAATTACTTTCTATATATATAATAGTAATAGTATTAATATAATGTATTATATTTAATTAAAGTTAAACTATTGCTTATACTAGTATACTATATAATAGAATACTATTAGTAATACTATAAAGTATAGTATTAGTTATAACTACTATAACTAAGAAAAAAGTAATATAAATAAGGTTTTAAACTATAATATTAAAGAAGTAAAGAAATATTATATTACTAATATTATTCTAAATACTTTTTATAGTAATAATTTAAGAAGTCTTAGTATTAGTAACTAAGTAACTAAGAGTAAATAATAATATAACTACTTTTATATATATATATATAGAGAAGTAATAGTATTAGTATTAATAAAATACTTATTACTATTTATAAATATATATATATAGTTACTAATATAGTTTTACTTATATATTATTAAACTATAATATAGATATATATTAAAAGAATTAATTTTATATTTCTTCTTTGTATTTTGTATAATATATAAAATACAATATATATATTTGTATTTGTATTGTATAGTGCCTTAGAAAAAATACAAATACAAATACATGTATTATATTATACTAGAAAAAAAATACAAATACATGTATTATATTTATATTATATTTGTATTATATTTTTTTAATACTCTATTAAGTCTAAGCTTATCTTAACTATTAACTAAGGTCTATATAATGTTAGTAGTGCCTTAGAGAGTTTTAATAGTCTCCTTAAGTTCTTGTATCTTAGTTAAGGGTTCCTTAAGGATAGCTTTCTTTAAGTATTCTAGTTTAGCTATATTACTATTAATAACTTTAATAAGTTATTAGTTATACCTAGCGTTTCTCTTAATTATCCCTTAAATTATAAGGTATTAATCTATAGTAAGGATAGCCTTGTTGTCTTTATTAAATCTTAGATTAAGTAGAATAGATCTATTATTAATCTCTATAATATCCTTAAGTCCTTTGTCTAGGGAGCACTAGGACTTAGGGGTGCTTATTAAAGGTATATTCTTAGAGGTTAATATAATGTCTTTACTATTAGGTAAGTATTAAGGTTAACTTACTTAACAGGAGTAATTAAAGTGTTATAGTTAATAATCTAATAGTAGGGTTTTTACTAAGAATAAGCTAGGGTTAATACTTAGTTAATAGTAGTATAGGCTTACTAGTCTATTAATTACTTAATAATTAGTTAAATAGTTAATAGTTATAAAGGTAGCTTATATAGCTTTTATTAATTAAATTACTAAGGTTAAATACTAAAAGTTATTTAAATAAATTATATTATAAGAAGTTAATTACTAAAGAGCTATAAGAGTCTATCCTTAAGTGTGTCTAAGTCTATCCTATATATAAGTTTATTCTTTTTGTTAGCGTATAAGGCTATATATCTAAACTATAGCACCTATATATTTTCTATACAGCGCCTATATACTAAGTATACAGCTTCTATATTTCTAATATATAGATCTTATCTAATCTTTATTATTATATAACTTATACTATAGTTCTTCTATATCTATAGGAGTCATCCTATCTACGCCTATCTATTAGTTCTATACAAATACTGTTGCTACCTACTAGCTACTCTACTAAGTAAGGCAACATTGCCTATAACTTGTTAAGTTATAACAGGTTAGTACTAACTAATAATATAATAGTAGTATTTTTCTAGTTAGCACTTACTGTATATACTCTATAAGAATAAGGCCCTTAAATTACTAGGTAATACTCTTAATAGTTATAGTTCCTTAGAACAGTAAGGCCTCCTTAATAGGTACTATAATATTGTCTTCTGCAGAGGCGTTGTTTAGAGCAGAAAAAGGGGTCCTAAATAGAGAGAACAGCAAAGATGCTAGCTTACTTATTAACGCTATAGAAGATATCTACTCTAACAAGGCAGTAAATAGCTACCTAAGTCGCTAGTAATTAGTTCTAAATAATAGTAACTAAGTTACAAAGAGGTATTTAAATTCTAATAGTATTCTTATAGTTAAAGACAATAAATCTAGGCTAGTGTTATAAAGCTAAAAGTAAAATAGTGTAAACAGTAACTATTAGTCTACTACATTAGCCTTGCTAGGGGATAATTAGAGCTAATGGTCGTTAGTAGCTAGGATAACAGTCTTTAGTTCTAGCTGTTTACTCCTAACAGGAAGCACAGTTTTTAATCTATAATTACAGGAATCTTAAGTTAATTAACTCAACAAGGCAAAAGTAGGCAATAGCCCTATCTTTCTTTTGTTTCTAGAAGGGGAGACCAGAAAAACAATTAGAGCAAAGTAAATAGGACAAAACCCTGTGGAAAACGCAAATAAGTTGTAGTGTGTCTAAGCTAAGTTCTGTGCAAAATGATAGGAGGGGAAATGTCCCTTTGTGGACCGTGGGATCCCTGCCTCAGGCTCAAATTGGCCTCAGGCCCAAACAATAGGGGGTGGTATCAGAGACAAAGACCCAGCAGCGGTTCCCTCCGGGCACGCCACCTGCGTTTAGTCCCATGTCCCAGCCCAGGTCTTCAGTGGCTCCTTGCTCTGTTTGGGCGCTTTTATTGCGATGCAGATGCTGGAACTTGACAGTTGGCACCGACTTTACGGTTCAGCTGGCCCGGAAACGTGCGAGTGAATTTGGCTCTCCAGGCTTTGGCTTTCCGGTCCCAAGCTACCGATGTTACCTCACTTCGAGATGCTTTGCTTTGAAGAAGGGAACGCGTCCGAGGAAACAGGAGATGACGCAGCTGCGGAGAGAGCCTTGCATGATTCCCCAAGAGGCGGGCCTCTTTCTTCTGCCCGGTGTAGATTGCGTCTAAACCAAACTTCTCACGGCTGTGCGACTTTCGAAATGACCACAATCACAGACAAAGCAAATCCCGCACCTGTGGTTCCCTGCCTTTCATTATAGCTCTGCTCAGCGCATCTTGCATGGGGCGTTCAATAGGGGCTTGGATGGATATAAGACGTGGGACCTCGTCTGAATCGAGTAGGTAGCTTGATTACTTTCCTTTAGCGACCTTGGCTTAGGATTGGAACAAGACCACACAGCTAAAGTATCCACAAACATCCGAGATGTTCATCGAGGCACATGACCTCTCAAGCGGGTTGATTACATGGTGTAGGCTATCACGTAGACACCCTATTATGCAAAATATGAAGAGACCGCCAATAGAAGAAGCCATGGACATTGTGCTCATTTCGACAAACGGCCTGGTCCAGTTGAGAAAGGTGAAAGACCAACCCCGACTAGTTCGCGTGGGCTGTTTCATCGTAAACAAAAGGAATGGAGATAGCATTTCAAGTCTCTAAGTTGTGGCTGGCGTTTTGTGGGACAGATGTAAGCCAAAGTGCAATGAGGCTACCTGGTACTTGAGTAGTGTCCCTGTGGGCCCCCACATGTGATTATGTAATCTCATCAGAACGCGCTTCGCGTTGTTCTTATCGATAAGCACAAGGGGCTTGCGTCAAACATCACGAGTTCTTGAAGCTCATTTCTAGAAGCCCAACGTCGTCAAAGCCCCGCCGTCATACTGCAAAATGCCAAGGTTAGCCGCACGGGCTCTCTTTATCTCGTGTATCTACTTTCTAACAAACTACCTCAGGGAAATCATTACCGTTCAGGCCGGACAATGCGGCAACAGCAGTCAGTCACCCCACCATTGCGACGAACCCAACGATCGTAGCTCAAACGGAAGGCAGCTGCTGAGCTTGGAGGCTAACACTGAGTAGTCGGAAGCCAGTTTTGGCAACAACTCTGTCAGGAGCACGGTATCAACCAGGACGGGAACCTCGAGGACTTTGCAACCGAAGGCGGTGATCGCAAGGACGTTTTCTACTACCAGAGTGACGACACAAGATACATCCCACGAGCCATCCTAGTCGACCTGGAGCCGAGAGTTCGTGCTTCGATACAGATTAGGGGCCACCAGTCATGCTGACAAGTATCAGGTCATCCAAGGCATTCAGTCGGGACCGTACAAGAACATTTACAACCCGGAGAACTTCTATGTTGGCAAAAATGGAGTCGGGGCGGCGAACAACTGGGGTGACGGTTACCAGACGGGCGAGGTGGTCTATGAGGATATTATGGAGATGATTGACCGTGAAGCTGATGGTAGTGATTCACTGGAAGTACGTGCATCTTGCATCCAGCTGTTTGGATGATGCTGACTCTTATCCAGGGCTTTATGATGCTACACTCCATTGCAGGCGGTACCGGATCCGGCCTTGGTTCTTTCCTCCTCGAACGACTCAACGACCGATTTCCCAAGAAGATCATCCAGACATACTCTGTTTTTCCCGACACCACAAACGCTGGAGATGTTGTTGTTCACCCATACAACAGTGTCCTCGCCATGAGAAGGTTAACGCAGAACGCCGATTCGGTTGTGGTGCTGGACAACGGAGCCCTATCACGCATCGCAGCCGACAGACTACATGTCCAAGAGCCTTCTTTTGCTCAAACAAACCAACTGGTAAGTTTTTGCATCTTCATCCTCAAGCTGTCCCCACTGACCTGGGTTCTCAGGTTTCGACCGTCATGTCTGCCAGCACGACAACTCTTAGATACCCGGGATACATGCACAACGATCTGGTCAGCATTTTGGCCTCGTTGATTCCCACTCCCCGATGCCACTTCCTGATGACAGCATACACACCATTCACTGGTGATCAGGTCGAGCAGGCCAAGACAGTGCGTAAAACTACAGTGCTGGACGTCATGCGGAGACTGCTGCAGCCCAAGAACCGAATGGTTTCGACCCAACCAGGAAAGAAGAGCTGCTATATCTCCATTTTGAACGTCATTCAGGGCGAAGTGGACCCTACGGACGTCCACAAGAGTTTGCTTAGAATCCGGGAACGACGACTCGCGACGTTTATTCCCTGGGGCCCGGCAAGCATCCAGGTGGCCCTGACAAAGCGGAGTCCATATATCCCAATGGCTCACCGGGTCAGCGGGTTGATGCTCGCGAACCACACAAGCATTGCGACTGTGAGTATCTTCATCCACGCCCCTGTAGCAGAAACAACAATACGCTGACGGTCTTACAGCTGTTCAAGAGAATCTTGAGACAATATGACGGCATGCGGAAACGCAATGCCTTCATGGAGGGATACAAGAAGACAGCACCATTTGCAGAAAACCTGGACGAATTCGACGAGGCCCGAGAGGTCGTGTCGGATCTAATCCAGGAATATGAAGCAGCAGAGGACTCAGATTACCTGAACCCCGACACAGGAGACAAGGCGACCTCGGCTGAAACCGACAAGAGGATGGCCTAAACCAGACACACGTGGGAGCGGCAACGGGTTACGTAGTGGCAGGGCTGAAGATAAGTGACGTGCAGATCAATTTGTCGATATAGCGAGGGTGGCATCTATGCATCGGGAAAAGGATCGGAACCTGGGCTTTGCTGGGATTTTTGGCGTTCAGGGACGGGGAGATGGCACAGGATTACGAACTAAGCCCCCTCCATAACGAAAATTAAAAGACCCCCCAACCCCTCAATAAACTTGCATCTCGATGGTCTACCTACCACTTTGACCCCTCTGCTTCTTGAGCTTGCAGGTGCCTGGAGCATTTGTTCCTGAGCGGTTTGTGTCATTGATGGGCCCCTTCGCCGTTAGAGTTCTCCACATCCCATCACAATCGACGATGAACGTCAGCCGTTCTCCACCAAAAGAGGCTGCAAAGAGCCGCAGAATTGCATATTTTTGACGTCATTAACGTCAGAGCTCTGAGAGCTCGAACCCGGCTCGCCAACCTGGACCTCAGGCGAACTGTCGCTCGACTTAGCATAAAAAGACTGGCATTGAAGCTCGATCAAAATGCGTTTTTGATTCTAATCACATTACACCATCACAACCCGATCAAGACAGTTTGATCAAGACAACTTTAGGAAATCTTCCAACTTCAAGTCCGAACTAACCAATCAATCAACCACCGTGAGTTACAAGCCGCTTCCACTTGCCTAATCGCAGCCGCAGACGCTAACACCTAATTCCCTCTAGAACACCAACAAAAACCGCCAAAATGACACAGTCCAAGGCCGATAAGATCGAGAGCGTTAAGGCCAACCTCCCCCTTCCCGAGGACCCCCCCGTTGCCCCTGACTGGCAGTCCGCCGATGCCCGCAACGTCAACGTTGGCAGCGGCCGTACTGAGGCCCCCATCAGTGGCGACAAGCCCGCCGCCTCGGCCCTGCGCGACCCTTCGTCCACGACCAACGTTGACCTGAATAACGTTGGCCGCCAGGCCGTCGAGGGACTTGACGACCTCCCCAGAGATGCTATCGCCAAAAAATAAATTTGAGAAGTCATGGATGAATGAAAAATCTCAGTGGGATTGGGAATGCCAAGCGGGACTGGGAGCATTGTACTATTAGGGAGCATTACATGGCAAGAGTTAATGACAATGGCATGATTTGTCTTTTACAAATATTGTGGTAATCTTTGCTTATCAATACCCTCGGCTGTAACGTTTGTTACGGAGGTGCAATTACAAGGCGGTCCCGTTTGAGGTCGCACAGGTACACAATGGTGACAATACACAGTGGAAAAAAAACACCGTGAAGGTACCATGCTCGGTACTCAACGCAATATAAGGATTCTGATCAAATACCATGAAGATATCTAGGTATCTACCCTTATTGCCAATCCTCGGAGGTTACAGATAGAGGTATTATAAACCCCGTAACATTTGTTACAACAGACACCTGAAAGTAAAACAACACTCTGGACTGATGCTAGATGATCGCTTGGTATGTCAATCGTATTTTGACGTCTAGTTAAAATCACGTTCCATGCCGTCAGCAAGTGGCCCCGCATCTTCGCCCTAGTACGTTTTGCATCTGTTGTTTACTCTGGTATCATTTCGTTTTGTTTCGATATTGAGGCCCTCTGGTTGTGGATAAACAGGCGGTCGCGCACTTTGGCGCCGTTATGTCGAAAGATGCATCACCGCATTTTCCTATCCATCGTGTCGCATTATCTACCAGTTGCTTTGCAAACACGGAATGCGGTGCATCAGGATCAAACGATACTTTGATGGAACTTACCATCAGATGACATGATTCCAATTTTGTTACCGACTTCCAAGCAGGTGTTGTTTACTCAGAAGACTAGTCCAGCATATTTACTACTTAAGACTTTCTGTTGCTCAATTTCAATGGGGTTATTATGTCAATCCTCCTACTGTGACAGGTGTTGTTTTTTTTTTTTTTTTTTTTTTTTTTTTTTTTTTGGTAGGAGTTGTTATTGCTTGTTGGAATAAAAATGTGCATACACTCTATTGCTGTCTGCACACCTACGGTGTCTCAATGAAGAGTTGACAACCCGCTGGCATAGTCTCATTGACAACTTTCTTCATCGTTGTCCTCATAGTACTTCTATGAGATTCTGCAACCACTCTTTTTGTCCGAGGAGGCAGAACAGGTACTGGGTTGAAGCAGACAGGACTAGAATGTCTAACATACAAACACGCAATGCTTCTTTGTCTTCATGCAGGACCCTTTACTTGCATTTCAATACTGAGGAGGCAAGCCAGATAAAGACTGTCAGCCTCAATTATATTCTCACCGCCTGGTCCCTTCTACAAAGACATCCATGGATTTCTTGTACTGTCACCCCATTGCTTACTTCCTCAAACGTTATTTTCCTGAGTCACCTGTGTGTTTTGGCTCACCTTGAGGAGAAATTTGACCAGGTTCTGCTCTTGCCCTTCACACGAGTTGCCCATTTATGACTATTAGAAGGCAAGTGCCTCCCTCACCCCTCTTGCCTAGAGGTACCTTGCGACATTCCTGCTACCCAGAAGCCAAGTCAAGAGCGGTATTTCCCTCCCCAGCAACTTTTTTGCAACTAGCTTTCTTCGACCTCTCAAACCTCTCACCCCACTTCAACCACTTCTACACTTCCACTCTTCCACATCACTACAATCACTTTCATCTTGAGAAGCCAGAAACATCATCTTACAAACAGCGATCGTTCTCTAAGCCTGACTTCGGTCCCTGCCTCCCCTTTGTGTACTTGCACTGGGAACTATACTAATTGACCAAGCACTCCATCCCAGAAAAATAGGTCACAGACCGCGAATATAGGTACGTGAGATATTCCAAGGATGGACAGTTATTTTCCGATTTAGCTTCCCCTGTTCCGCAATATCACCGCCCTGTATAATGGCTGCCTGCCCTTCTTCCTTGCCTAATCACTTTCCTTTCCTTCTATTTACACCAAACTATATCTCGGATACTTTCTTATCATCGCGAAAGACTGCATCCAATATTCTGTGATTACAGGTTACCTGACTCACTAATCAAACTAGCGAGTCCTAACCCGTCCCGTTGTGACGAGCGTCATCATGGGTTCTTGGGGCGAGCAGACGTCGCGAAGGGCAGATCGAATGCCTACCATGCGCGCCCAAGTCAACACAAACAAACAGTCAAGCCCCTATACTGCAGATGATTTGGTCAAAAACGCAATGATGGTAGGTGTTCAGATTTACCCTGCCCCAATTTTAGAGATTCGTGTGCCTGACAATGGAAAGAACGACCTTGGTACTATCCGCATAAACGAGTTGCCACTTGACGACACTCCTAGCTCGCGACACATTCCACAGCGGCCTCGTCAACCGCCTGTTGTTATCGAGCAAAGCGAGGCTCTGAACGGCTACCGCGGTGAGTCTTTCTGGAGCACCTGATAGACTAAGCTAACTCATATCTAGCAATGGCGGAGAAGGGGATTGACGATGCCGAAGCTATGGCTGTTAGAGATCTAGACGATCTGGGCGGACCTAGCGTTTATCGGCCGACTGCAGGACCTGCCAAGAACTTCATAGCCGAAGTTCGTCGTCCCACGTGAGTAACTTTCTCTTCCCTCAACAGCACACCACCTAATATGAGGACAGTCCAAGCTTTCAGGGAATGCAGACGAGCCGGAATGGTATTCTTCTTCCTCCTGGCATTAGGGTCCACCGATTCGATCCGAAGAATTCTCTTGCGGTCTCGAGCAATCCAGCCACAGTTGCTAGCCCACAACCTGGTAACGCTGCGGCAGCGAAAGCATCTAAGAAATCCTTGCCTCCTCATCTGAGGATGAAGAAGAAAATGGAGGCTACCCTGCCCAGCGAACCTGGTCCTGAGAATGGAACATCTGGGGAAGCCACTAAGCCAGTCACGACGGATATCTCTACGGCTTCTCAAGCTAGAGAAATCACAGCATCCCTTTCCACCCCCATGACACCCAAGGAGCTTCTCAAGGACCAGAGTGTCGAAGACGCGTCCAAAAACATTCAACCTTCTGTCACTCATGTCAACGCCGTCAAGCATGACTACGCTTCTAAGAGCATTGGCTCAAAAGACGACGAAGTGGTGACCTTTTGGACTGGTTCATGCAGAACTTGGGTTTCTGAGAAAGGGAAGGACTGTGTGGTCATGATCGATCTCAAAGTCATCAACGCCGCAGTGGGCACCGAGGGACAATCTCTTTTTGTCATGACACTCCCAGAGGTGTTCGTCAAGAAGCACAATATGAGCTTCTACGTCCTCGAAATCACGAAGGGTAACCTATGTGTTGTCAAATTCGTCAACCATGGCAATGGTGTGGAAGAGGGTCGTTACCGACTGAAATTCCAAGACGAGATGACAGCCACAGACTTTCAGCACCGGGCAGCGGTGCTGCAGAGAGTCATGGGCTACCTCAGCGATGTAGCTGCTGCTAACAACGATATGGGAGTTGAAGCCATCCCTGTCGCCGAGCAGAACGCGACTCAAGAGCCAAAGGCGGTGATCGAGAAAATCAGATCCTCAGCCAAAGACGACGAGAACACTCCCAAGGAATCCGGAGTCAGTACGGATGTCATCACAGATGCTTTCAACAATCTTTCCCTCAACAAGGTCAAGGACGCCGATATGTACAAGGCCAATCGACAGCGGGTAAGCTACAGCGCCGAGGAGTTGTTGGAGCGGCGTGCTTCTGCCCGGGCTCCTACTGGTATCACCGACGTCAAGATACCTCTGAACCGACAGGACAAAGAGCCGAGAATTACGTCCTCGACTGCTCAAGACATCCTCAAGCAGGACCGCCATTCAAAGGAATCGCCCACCGTGCATGACAGTTCCAAGCTGAAGGATTGGATTACAGGCAAACGGTCTCAATCGAAGACTGAAGAAAGCTTTTATATCTCAATGCCTGGCTTGTCTGAGGCAGTCCAGTACCAGAAGGCAGCTGCCACCACTACTAAGTCTTCAGCCCAGGGAGGCAAAGGGTCTTTATCGGAAAACAAACCCGTCAATGCCATCGTTGACAAAAATGAGATCAAGGCTGACGGAGCGCCTAAAGAGAACGACAAGGGCGGTACAAATGACGAAGCTCAGATGGGTGCGACAGCGACTGGCACCAACCCTACCACTCCAAAGTCGACGGATGCGGGTGCCAGTATCGGCCCCGAGGTTTCTGTTGCTCAGGCCACCACTGACGTGAAGGCTTCCACCTCCGCTGAACCCAAAAAGTTCGATGACCGGACTGCGGATTCTGATGCTTCAAGCGATTCTGCAGTTGAATTCCAACCTCCTTCCAAGGATAAACACCTTTCCGGCATTGCCATTGATCAGAATAACCAAACGAAGATGGACAATACAGCTCCATCCTTGGAAATGGAAGTGCCTGCCCCCGCTGCCTCCGTTATTGCCGATGAGCAGGATAGCTCTTCGAAGGAAACACCTGCGACGGTGTCTGGGCAGACTGTCTCCACGGCCCCCCCCACAGCGACTCCTACACCATCCTTTGCAGTTCATCCCAACATTCTTTCCGGGATTCAAGGCCAAAGCAGCCACAGAATCCCAGCTGCTATGCCATTGCCTCATCTGACATCGCCGCGGATGACATCGCCTCTCTTGTCGACACCCCACATGGTCCAACCCAATGTCACTTACACGCCCCAAATGGATGCGCATTCCATAATTCCCGGTTTTCAATGTCCACCTGCCGGTGTCGTACACTCCGTGAGCGTCACTTATCATATCAGCTATCCTGGACAGCCCAACGGACAACCCCTGAATCCCAGCCAAGAGAATGCGCATGCCATTCATCACGTCACCGACCTCACCGGACAGCAGACAGGTAGAGCATTCTCACCCAATGCCCAAGTGTTCCAGCCTCAGTCCCAGCGCGATCAATCTCAGAGTGGATCCGGTCAGAACCGTATGCGGAGAGGACTTGAGAGCTCGATTTTCGCCACTGGATACAGTGGCGCCAAGCATGCGGGTAGTTTCACTGGGGCACCTTCAAAGTGATTTGAGGGCAACGAGAAGAACACAGGTCTAGACACTTCATATCTAGATCCTAATAGCAGGAGTGATAGTATTCGTGAAGCTGGTCATTAGGGAAAGGATATACCTAAGAATAGCGAATGGGCGGTTATCCATAGGAAAGGGCCTTTTAGCGTGTGGCACGTCAGGGAATACTAAACCAGCCTCGTAATCACAAGACAGAGGATAATTGAGACTCCCCAGTTCTGTCAGCAGAGCGACTAGGTCCCATTTCATAGGAATACATGCTGCAGATGCTGTTGCCTGCAGCCTATTCGTGAATCCACTTGTCATCTTCCCGACTGATAATCACCTCATCAACGTCTAAACGTAAGTCGACAATCTCCTTCCCGTTGACTAGATCGTTCTCCCTTGCCCTTCTGTCAGCCTCCACCTCATCCTTGGCAATACCGGCCATGACATGTCTGCCAATCAAACGTTTCCTCGCCACGTCGAAGTCGACGTCTACAAACCACAGCTCGTCCATGAGTTTAGCGGCATAGTTCCATGGAGACCTATCGAGAGCGAGGTAGTTGCCCTCGAAGACTACGATGCGGTGGTAGGGCTGTATGACGATGTCGTCGGGCTTGGGATCCTTGATGGCGTGGTCGAAGCTCGGTGCGTATATCGGAGCGGTGTCGGCGCGCAGAGGCTCGCGCAGGGTGATGACGAGCTTGTGGAAGGAGTCCCCATCGAAGGTGAAGACTGCACCGCGGCGGGCATGGGCGTTCACCGGATCGGGCATGCTGGAGAGCTGGGCCCGGGTCAGATGGTAGCCGTCCATGGGGACAAAGACCGCCGGGGGGTGCGTTGCCCGGGAGGGGTTGGAATGGTCAAGGGTCGCGGCGCGGGCGTTGAGGCGGGTTGTCAATAGCTGTGAGAGGGTTGTCTTGCCTGGTTGGCGTTAGAATGCCGGTTGGCAGGGCAGCGGGGAGGCGATCATCGCGTGCGTGTACCTGAGCCTGGGATCCCGGCTATTCCGATCACTGGGGTGTGTTAGTGCGTCAGGGTTGAAGACATCGACGTCGAGGCTTACTGGAGCCATCGTTTTTAACAAAGATACCAACGGGAGTTCAAGGGTAAAGTGATGCTCGTGTGCCCCCCAACCCGATAGCCGCAATCAAGGGTACTCACTGAGGCGCTGGTCGGCCGGCGTCTTTTGGAACTTGTCCCAAGCCTTTTCAACGAGCCTCGTCACTTGCTGCTCCATTGTGTACTGTAGTGTAAGAACCCTGATACTATTTCTCAATGTCGTGTACCGAGACGGAATGCAAACGACGAGACCTCAATAGGTAGATCCAGTGCGGGAGGGGAAGCTTCCACAGAGCTACCGGATGGCCCGCTATATGCGAAAGCGGCCCCACCAACCCCGCCATGCGGCTTGATGTCATTTTGGGGAATGTTTCGGCAGGACTTGCTGGAAAACTTTTCGCGAGAGGGGCGGGGCTTCCTTTAGATGCATAATGCCACTCCCGGCACCCCACCGGCTTGTGGTGGGCTACTCTGGCTCTCGTATGGCAGCAACCACGCCGATTTTCAAATCACATCGGCGGCGAACTGGACGTGGACGGCTTCCTCAGCGTGAGTTTTCTTAAACTGCTTTTCTTCTTCTTCTTCTTCGAACTCTCGGACCGCTCTCCAAACGACCGGGTTCCAAGTCTTCCTTGACTCGTCCAATCCTTCAGAGCCAGCATTAGAGCCGAGACTACAGTTTTTGGAGGTCGCACCGCGTCTTCCCGACGAGTAAGCGAGTGAATATGGCCGACGAAGACGGGGGCTTGTTCAGCATCGCCATCGATGACTCGGATGTGGAGGGCCTGGTCTCGGAGGCTGCGGCCAAGGCCAAGGAAAAGCCTAGGGACTGGCAGTCTGAGGAGGACTTCCAAGAGCTGAAGGCTACTTACAGGGCTAATGTACAAAATGGCGAAGTGAGTCACGTTTTTGTTCCTTCAATTTTTTCTTTCTTTCGCCTTTTCCCCGACTACACTCTCCCCTGACCATTTTCAATGTCATTTGCACTTCAGTCTTAGCCTTGACCTTATACTGGATGTTCGGATGGGCAAGCACCGCCGGATTCTCCACCCCGGAGTTGTGACCCCCTCCATCTTGCAGACAGCCCCGGCTGACGTTAGAGGGACACCCCTCCCGCTAGATCTGGCAGACTATTGAGCTGCCTCTGGCCGCCGACGGAAAGGCCGGCAAGCCGGTCCTGCAGGAGCTGCTGCACGCCGTGGAGGAGCTGTACTTTTACCGCAGGTTCGAGGAGGCGGCGGCTTTCGCGAGGCGAGTCCTAGACGGGAGCGACGCGGCGCTGGACCGGGACACGAGGGAGACGCTGACACGGTACGAGGAGAAGTCCCGGGGTCGGGCGGGCAAGTGAGATACCCACAGTATGAGATGCATCTAGATATGGCGATTTAACAAATGCCATGTCATGATGAAAAGTTTGATGGTCCAAGGTTGTGTGTGTGTAGTCTATTATTTCTAAATAACACTCTAATTTTGTCCGGAGATCAAAAGATGCTTTTGGAGCGAGAAACCCCCACAACTTTGTATACTCTATCATGTAGGGATATCCCCAAACTCCGGAAAACTCTTTGTACAGTTGAAGGACCTGAACTGAGAATGTGACCTCCGCCTTTGGAGGTCTAAGCCCCCAAATTTTGACTTCTGAACGCCTTTCTAAAATAAAATAAAACCCTTTTTCCAGAACCCGTGTTAGTGATGCTGCCCGCTGTTGAGGAAGAAAAATAATTTGACGAGGAATCGCTGCAAAAGACGCAAGTCATCTTGTCGTGATGAAAAAGAGACGGGGGTTGTCGTCGTATCGTTTCGTGTCGTAGACTTCGGAACTCCGGAATCTTCTTCTCTGGGCCAGGTCATGCTGCCATGCCCTGGCGGACACGCATCTCGCGTTCGCGCTCCTCGGCAAATACCCTCCTACTCATGGCCAGCACCGTCTCGAACCCTTCCTTGCCTTTCATCGCGTTGTCGCGGAAGCGAGACACGCACTGGTCTTCGATGCCGTTCTTGATGCGCTGCCATCCGCCGCAGAGCGCTGTGATCTGAGCATCCTGGACGAATTGGGTCTGGGTGGCGCTGATGGGCTTGTAGACGACGGACTCCTGGACGGAGATGAGGTTGGAGAAGGTGAGGTTCTGCGAGACCATGGTGACGGTCTTGGTGGCCGGGTTGACGTAGGAGGTCTCGAAAACGTGGGAGACGTCAGGATCGGCACCGGCACTGGCTCCGCCGACAAGCGAGGCGAACCACTTGGGCGCTGACTGTTTACAGGTGATGAGGCGCTCTGTACGGAGGATGCCCGTGGCCGGGTCGACGCTGCGGCCGATGGTGTCGACAGCAATCACGTGTGTCGTTTTGTCGTTCCAAGGGCAGTATTTGCGCCAGTTGGCGGCCGAGACCTCCTCCCAAGAGTAATTGAAGATCACTGAGTTGGAGAAGACCTTCATCGTGTATGAGTGGACTGTTGGTTTGTGGATATTTTCTTCTTGTTTGGGAGGTCGGGAGGACGACAAGCTCGCGTGCGACGGATCGAAAACCTTTTTTTCTCTGTTGAGGGTTCTCTATCGGATGGGGATCGTGTGGATTCGTGAAAAGCGTACCCAGCAAGTCTCGGAAGTGATGAACGAGGCAAAACAGTGGGATTATAGGTTTGTTTGTGTTGTCAAACGACGGTGATGCGGCAAATGGGCTCAAAAGTGGGTGGGAAAATGAAGAGGCGATTGTTGATAATAAAGGGATGAGAAAAATATCAGTGGCAGGGGGTGAACAAACCTTGCTAGTGAGAGGGAGGGAGGAAAAAAAGCAAAGCGTAACTGCGAGCTTCGGTAGGCCGGAGGGTGGAGGTGTCGTGTGCGGGTTTTTCAGGAAGCTACGCTGTGGAACCCAACCAACCACAGGGTGGCAAATGGGTGGAATCGGCACGCTCAGATTGGGTACAAGGTCTTACGCTGCTGGAAATTTCTCTCAGTGTCTGGGGGACTCGCTCTGCGCGCGCTGGGTTTGGCTGGCACGGGCTGGGCACTGTACATATGCAGTTTAGTGTGCCGCCTCAATAACCCCGGTCGGTGGCCCGGGGAATGACGGGAAATTCGGAGTGGCGCGTGCGAATCTCGCAGCGCTGTGAGGCACGCAAGCACGACGATGGAGCGCTAAATGGCACGGATTGGATGCGTACAGGTACTTGTCTTCTCGCCTATCTGCCCTTTTTAGGTGTGACGCGCATGGACCTGATGGAAAACGTCGGTAACGACGCACCAGGTTGCCGCTGACCGTCGCTAGGTTGCATGTGATTGGCTTCTCGGTGGAGCGGCTACTTGATTCTGATTCGCCCTTTGCCTCCATTCCATCGAAAAAGGTTACCCAACGAAGAGAGGAGAGAGAGAGGCCCAAGCTCTCTCTGCCTTTCGCCCAAGGACGTAGAGAGTCTCACAGCCCGAGAAGCAGGAAAGATGTGCCAAGAAACTTCCTACCACAGCACCCGCAACCGAAAGCAAACCGAAGCCTCTTACGTTGTCCGAGGGCCAGCAAAACACAAAAAAGTGGCCCAAGATGGAAGGGGTGATGGTGGTCGTCGGCGCTTCTGGACGCCCGCCGATCGGACCCTGGAGGCATGGGAATAAGCGGTGGAGGCGCTGACCAGTAACCGTTGGCCTATGCTCGCCTCGGCCTGGCGGCGATATCATAGCGTGCGGGAAAGAAAACGAAAGTGGGAAAACAGGTTCTGGATCGGCCTGTGATCATTTGCCCGTTTTTGCAACACCCTCTGCGTACGGGACGACACTTGGCGCCATGCTGACTACTTCTCAGCCTCAAGTGGCTCAAAGGTTGTTAATCTGGCACCTGGGTAGTCCCTGCGTTCCGAATGGCTTGCTCAATCCGTAGTGCATCCGCGCATGTCTTCCCATTTACGGGAGCCGATCCGATGGCCATACCGAGCAGAGGGTGGCGATGTGTGACATCATCGAGGTCCCGGAATATGAGGGGAATGGTTTTGTGAATATTTTCCGTGGCCGATAGAAGTGCTGTGATAACATGCCGTCACCGATCCCACCAAGATGATCCGTACTGGCCATGATGTTGAATTCGGTCACTGCGGCGATCCACCCCGGTCCGGGTATCGGAACATATTATGAAACGGGCCGTGGTTGCTTAAAGTGGTTCGGTTCCCTTCTGGTGACACATCTTGCGCATTACAGCAGTGACAGCCAACTTTGTACAAGTAGTACGAGACAGGTTTTATGTTGCGTTCAATATACGAGTGCATGATCTGGGTTGTACTACTTGGGCCGATAACTTGACCCGACAGACCACGCCGTCAGTCCGTTCTCATTCCACGAGCAAGATAAATAACGCGAAATTGACACGACATGGGCAGGCTCACATGCCCATAGGAGATGGTCCAACACTAGCACAATGCGGTAGATTTAGGGAGACAACGGGACTATTGCTCTTTAATAAGTCGACGGCGGTCATGCTGCTCTAAGTGTGTCCCCAGTCGCATTCCACACTCTCCTTGCCGTGCCAAGACCGCACGCCTCTTTGAAAGGCTTCACAGCATCAAGCCCCCTTGCACCAGTGATATCACGCCTCATGGTTGGATTTGATTGTTTTGGATTTCGAGAGTGTATCTAACGATAGCCTCAATTGAGTGGAAAGAAACCCTATAAGCAACGTCCATCCTTGGCCGGTTTCACCCCGCCTAGTAGTCGTCACCTCGGCTGATTACTTCCTTCACGGTTGGCCTGAGCAGGATCGTCTGCAATACACTGTCAGCTTGGGCATAGAACGACGTTTTTTGGCTATACTTACGTGCTCGAACTGAGCAGTGTAGGAGCCCTTCTTGTCACATAAGGGCGGGTAAGCCTCGACAATGCCACTGGCTACCAGGTTGTTCAACTGTTGTGTTGTCAGCTCGTGGGTTAGCATCAACAAGGATGACTGTGAACTTACGCCCAAAAGATACTTGTCCTGTCCCAGACGATCCAGGTACCGCCGACAGAAGGGCAACGTGCCAAAGTTTTTGTTGATTACGTTGAGCAGTCTTTTGGCCGAATCTAACCGAAGTGCGGCGTGTCCTTCTCCTCGTTTAGCGTAGTGAGACACTTCCATGTCTTCGCGGACGAATCCATTGCCCGTGCTGCCGAACGTCTCGACGGCGAACACGTCGCCCTCCTCCATCTTGGTTGTGTCGTTGCTTTTAACAATGGGCACACTCTTGGTGCCGTGGATGCTCCAGCGCTCAATCGTGTGGCCGTTGAGGTTGCGGATCGACTTGACGGGGTACGTCGTGCCATCAATCTCCACCTCGTAGCTCTCCATGACCTCCTGGATGACACCTCCAACGTCTCCGACGCGCACGTCGATGCCAGCCTCCTTCACGCCGGCGTTTGTCGCGTCCTTGACAGCCGCCAGGAGGTTGTCATACTGCGGTTCGAAAGCCATGGTAAAGGCGCTGTCGACGATGCGTCCGTTGACGTGCACGCCAAAGTCGACCTTCATGACGTCCCCTTGCGAGAGCACCATCTTATTGCCAGCGTTGGGCGTGTAGTGGGCTGCGCAGTGGTTGAGGGACAGGCCGCAGGGGAATCCCATGCCGCCCTTGTAGGCGTCTCCCTCCTCGATGCCCGGGTGCCCCGTCAGCGCACGCACACCGTCCTCGATGCCCTCGGCGATCTCGGTCAGAGTCTGGCCGGGTTTGATGTTCTTCTGGGCCCACTGGCGGACCTGGCGGTGGATTTCGGCGGCCTCGCGGTAATCGGTGAGGAAGTCGTTGTTGAGGTTGTCAAGGTGGCGCTTCTCCTCGTTCGTCGTGCGGTAGAGGTTCTCGTCGCGGTACTCCTCTTCCTGACCTTTGGGGTAGTTCTTGTTGGGGAACAGCGACGACATGAGCACGCGGGGCGGGTCGGACTGGGCGGTCGGAGTCTTCTTCTTCTTCTTCTTCTTGTTCTTCTTCTTCTTCTTGGCCGCGCCGCCGGCTGTGGGGGCCGCTACCTCCTCGCCCTCCTCATCCGAGTCGTCGCTGTCATGGTCAACGCCATTTCCCTCCGTGGGGTTTGCTGCCTTGTCGTTTGTCGCAGGCCCTCCCACTGAATGGTACTGGTCAGCTGGCTGGGATTGGTGTCTGGAGCATTGCTATGACGAGAGGGCATACCGTTGAGCTCCTTCAAAGCCTCTATGGGAACTTGAGCAGCCATCTTGGCATACTAGATTCTGCGCGTGTGTGGTGAAGATGGTGGAGGGAGCGACAGATTTTGAACCCCACCTGTTAAACGCAAGGGCGCGGGGTAAGCCCCGATGAAGTCGTTAATCGGGGTGCAGCTCCTTACCTTATGCAATATCCAATCTCGTTTCACCCTGCCTTGTGAGCCGACTAAGCGAAGCGAAAAAAGAAAACCAGTCAAAACACTCGGCCGAGTCGACTATCTGGTTGAAGTTGCAGGAGGAACCAATGCTGTGATCAACTCGGGGGGGACGCGTATTCTTGCAGTTCTAGTCATTTTAACGGTAAGGTTCTAAAGTATATTGCACATGATTTGCGACCCTATTCAGCTAGGAGGCTGCGCCCGCCAGAGACCCATTACAAGTCGGCTAAGTTTGCTTCTCTTACATGTCACAACGTCATTTGGATCCCTGATTTTAGGGTTGACTCGTCTCCTCTTGCCGTGCTGCCGTCTCGAACCAGGAACGTGCAACTTTACGCACTTCACACCGACATGGGTCCATCGGTGCCTCCAACGATTTTAGTCCATTTTTAATGCCTCTTCATTCACATCCCACTATCCAACCCTAGGCTCAGCGAATGACTTGAGGTCAATTACAAACATGAGACGACACTTTCAAACGCGTAAAACCCCCTAACAAGGTAGCAACTCATCCCTGTTACTTCCATCAACCCCTTGAGGCTCCTTCAAACAGCCCGTGGATTCGTCTTTGGTCAGTTGACTCTGCACCGAGCACCGGAGCCACCGCAGTCTTTGGCATAGCCGTAAGAGCAGCATCTGCCGTCGGGCGAACACTCAAAGATGTGGTCGCTGACCCTCTTAGTGGTCACGACGTAGGCGCCGTTGTCGGACCATACACAGTTGCCGCAGACCGTCAGCTGCTTGCCACGACTGTTACACTTGCATCCATTGTAGGAGCAAGCTCGCTTCTCCAAGCCTAGCTCCTCCTTCTTGTCTAGTAAAGTCACAAGCTCGTCGTTGTCGGTCCGCTCGGCCAGAGCGTAGGGCTCTGCTTGCTGGGAGACGCCAGCCTGGGCAGTCACGGCGAGGAAGACGAGAGGCAAGACTGGGGCAAAGCGCATTTTTATGGTTTGGTTTGCTGCCAGGCATGTTAATGGCTCGGCTTTGGCAGGAGTTACATGGAGTCGGTGACAATACTTAGATATATTGAACTCGACGGTAGTTCAAAGTGAAACTTTGATTGTTGAGGAAAACAGCTTGTTGATTCTACTCAGTAAAATGGCTGGAGATGATGGGATTATAGGCGCTTTTATAAGCATCTGAGCCGAACCATGCGTCCAAGTTAATTCAAATTAACGGGTTAACCAACTCCGTGATGCTAAGGGACAATAGACTATCTGTCTTACAAAAGACATTGAACTAGAACTGAACTGATGTTACACTGCCGTAAACATGTTCAGCTGATTCAAGAATAACTGAACAGCCCAATCAATATATGCAGTTGCTGTGGGGTTGACCGGCAGGTTTGACAGGACGTGGTTCGCTGTTCTGCCAATGCTGTGCAACTTGTAGGCCGGAAATGCTTTCCTCAAGCTCTATCGACTCGAAGCATTCTGTTGAGGTATATGTGATCTGCTTCTTAGTCTCGCTTTACCAATGTTTCTATCCGGCCCTGGTTGTTTAGGACCAAACCCTCATGAGCAAATGGTCCACACGACGGAGAGGATTTCTTGCAAGTAAGTAAATCGACTGTCCAGTCTAATGAGTTACCTTAGCTAATGTCGCTAGCCGTCGAGAATTCTAAGCTCATGAGTTATGTGGAACGGTAACACGCGACTGCACACATGAGCAGTCAAATCGGAAAACTGATAATGTCACCCTATTCGGTTTTGGAGCTTGGCGGAGACGTGACGACGTAATGCTAGCCTCAACTCATCAGTTCATGAAAGCAGCCGGGTTTGATTGTGTGTCTTACCTATTGACCATTTCTCTTATGGTCCAGTGATAATTACAGGAGGTTACTATTTATCCAGTTTGCATTGCATTGACTCGGAGGCTAGTGTCAGGTTGGGCAGCGCTATACGTAAGAGGTCTGCGGGGAAAGCGTATAGGACCTTACTATTATGTCCAGAGACGGCCTCGTTGACCTATAGCTGGTCGACTTCAGCTCGTCTATCGATTTTGGCAGCCATCTGGCGATTTTCATCGACGGGCATAATGGTCTCAGTCATAACACCCGTTGGAGGAAAACGTCCTTACAGTTGGACGTAATCTGGAAATGTAAGCGATACATCTTTATTTGCTTGCCATGTTCATACACCCAAGAACCGCTCTTTCGAAGCGTTTCAAGCTCGCAAATTGTTCTATGTCTCAAAACTAGATCCGCAATATAATTGAGAGTCGACTTAGACCTAGATGAACATGATTCACAAGTGAGTACACGGAATCTCTGACGCCATCAAAAGCCTGATATAAACCGTCCTCCGCTTCCCCCTCCAGACGGGACGACCCATCGTGACCCTTTACCTGAGGAACCTCGCGCCGATCTGGGCTGAGCAGCCTGAACTCTCTGAGCTTCGAGTTGCTGCAGGACCAGTACGTGAGCCACCACATCTGAGCCTGGTCTCACGACAAGTACACCTGTGGCAGAGGTGGATGAGAATCTCCAAGGATGTGCCGTGGAGTTGGGCATGAACCCGGGTCGCTGAGGTCAATTACTGCGTGTAAGCCACATTGATGGCCTCGGACAGCTCAGTCACGCCTGTTGTCAGATTTCTTTTCTTTGATGAGATGAATCCTTCGCCAGTTCACGACTGAAGACGCCAGTTTGGAGTCTTGCACGTTATGGGTTTTGGAAATTCCATATGTAAAGGAATGACAGGTATATTAGTCGGTAGAAATACCAGTGAGACTGATTTATGTTGAATACCCTTGTCCGAGCCCGAACCCCAAACCAAGACTACGCTATGCCCTTGGAGAAAAAGATGAAAGAAAAAAAAAAACGCCTCCCTGATGCAACCGAATACCCCCAAGGTCAGTAAAAACCCACATTCCTCAAGCCCACGATCTAGTTGCACTGGTCGCCGACCAGCACAAAGAAGCCGCCGAGGTGGGACGCCGTGAAGGCGACGTTGATGTCCTCGTCGACGCCGGCGTCGTTGGCGACGGCGAACTCGAAGCTCGGGCTCTCGGCGCACTGGAAGCTGTTGATGAACTGCACGGTGTCCTCGACGACGGCGTCGTTGGCGACCTTGAGGGGCCCGAAGGAGCCGACCAGGCTGCCGGGGGCGGGCCCGCCGAGCGAGCGGACGTCGAGGCGCGCGAGGTCGCCGCCGCCCTGGTCGATGGGGAAACCCTTGGCGAAGGCGCCGATGAGCTGGCAGGGGCCCGCGGAGGCGGGGCCGACGGGGAAGGTGAGGACCTTGGTCACGACGGTGCCGGAGGCGAGGTCGGCGACGCCGAAGTTGATGTCCGAGGCGGGAACGACGCGGCAGTTGGGGTTGGGGGCGGCGTAGCGGCGGGCGGAAGGGGTGGTGCGCGCGGCGACCGAGGCGGCAGTGGCGAGGGCGGCGATGAGGATGTTTGTGAGTTGCATTTTTGCTGGCTTTTTGGGGCGGAGTGTTTTGTTAGATTAAGAATATTGAGCGGGTTTGGTGCTTGAGAGTGGAGGAGGAAGATTTGTCTTTGTTTGTCAAGCTGATGAGTTGGTTGAAGCTGTTGATGCTTATGAGGATGAGAAGACAACAGCATGAGAACGAGGATATCGTCTTGTTTTATACATGCAACCCACCGCAGATTCCTCAGTCGAAGCCTTCACGAGACCCATCGTTTTCTGTTGAAGGATGTCAGCCCGGTTGTTGCTGCGCCCACGACCTCACGATCTCACGATCTCACCCGAGCTAAGTTGAGAAAGACACGCATCGCAGCTATGATAAATCCTTCATCTTCGGGTACCGTAAGCCAGAAAAGCCCCACGAGGCAAGGCGTCACCCGGCTAGCTCATCGCGCGACTCCGCTCTCCGCTCGAAACCTTCCGATAAAGCCTTCCTAGGAGGGGTCTAGTCGTGCTGCCATAAACCCAGCCCTACGGGTACGGGGATCTGAGCAAGGTGTGGGGTTTCTAAGCCTCCACCGAGCGAGCTAGACACGACGAGCCAAAGGAACGAACGGGGTCCCGTCAGCTCGGCGGGATCCGGCTCAGCCCTGCTTCGCCGGGCTGACCTCACCTGTGCGGAGGGTGTCTTGCGGCCACTGGCCGGCAGCACAGGTGCACGTGAGAAGAAGCAGGACGGGTTGACAGTGCCGCAGCAGTGTTGTTGTTGCTGCTGCTCCCCGGATTACTGCGCTTTCTAAATATAGGGCAAGCTTAGCTCTGACGCGCGAAGGATTCGGCCTAGCCACGACAGACCGGAGATTGGATTGAGTAAGACGCGGGTTCCGCCCACTTCACCTACCCGGCTTACTGTGATCCGTTCTACGGTGTGTCGAGGGAGGACGTGAAGGGATTTCGTGCTTGAAAGAACTGAGGCACGCGGAGGGGGGGGGGGAGTAGCTTTCTGCATCCTTTTCTCCTTTAAGAGCTTCAGCGAAGGATCCGAGCCGGTGACAATGTTCCCAAGTCTATTATACGTACACGACAGGAAGGTCGGGCTGGAAATCCTATCGCAATGATCATAGGGGGCCCTGGAGGAAGCGCTGCCTGAGCTGAGGATATCGTTGTCGAGATGGTTGAGCCGAGAACGCGCCGACGTCCAAAGGAGGAAATTTCATTCGCTTTCGGCGGTATTTGTTGAAAAGACCCTTTTCACATCGAGCGTGTCTTACCTCGGATTAACGTTGGGAGGTCGAAAGGATCGAGACACTGCGACTGACTGCAATTGATAGCCCTTCAACCTACCCACCTGAGGCTCTGTGGACATCGGATAACTTTGGCGGGTGGAACACATAAGGTCATGCTAATGCCTTGCCGAGCAGAGGGGTTGACGGAATGAGGTAAAGTTCATTCGCTGGCATGGCGTGCCTCGTCTCATAAACGGGATGAATTAAGAGGGCACGCAAAGTTGACGCTGTGCCTCATGTTGGTCAAACCTTCCTCAGGCACATGCCCAGAGTAGCACAACCATCGAAAAGGCTATCGCCAATAAAGGGAGCGGAGGAACGTTGATTCTCGATGTGTACGTTACACATTAAGACCGAAGGCTTCGCCGTGGCCTTTGCCCGCGTGGGCGAGGATGCCCGCTCACGGGGCTAGCCCACCAAGCATTGGTACTGCCAAAGACTTGAAAGCTGCAGGTATCATTGAAGTGGCTATGCTAATCTCAGCTCACCCCGAAAAGGGATAGAACACTGTTGGGCAGCTGCCGGAGTTCTTCAACTCTTTACGACGCCAGCCCGGCCCGGATCCCATTACGGGCGAGATCTCAACCCCAATTATCCGAGCATGTGCGGTGGACAGGCCGTACCGACCCATCGACAAGCCCAAAAAAGTCCCGGCGCTCCTATGCGCGCTCCTGCTGCTCGTTCACCTTGCTCATCTGGCTCGCCATGCTCAGGCCGGTGCCCTTTCTCGTCTGCAGAGCCTTGGACCACCTCTTGTTCTCGTGCGTGGGGGCTTCCCGGTGCCCGAGAGGCCCAGTACCTCCATCAGCTCGGGTATCTCGGCGTGGTCCCGCGTGGAGCGCATGCGGTGGCACCAGGTGACCTTCTTCTGCTCCGGCTCGAAGTCGTCATCGCACTCGCCGTCGATGCCCTCCCGGTTGTTGTCGATGCTGTTCTTCTTCGAGGTCATGGCCTCCTCGAGCTGCCGCTCGGCGTACGGCGTGGAGACCTCGGTGCCGAGCTCCACGGGCTCGAAGAGAAACTCCCCGCCGACCTGCCTGTGGTCGCCGGACTTGGTAGCCAGCCCGGCCTTGACCTGCTTAAGCCCCTGGAGGACGCTCTCCGCGGCGGATTTGAACAAGGATTTGCGCATGTAGGCCGGCCGCGTACCCAGCGCAAGAGTGCGCGTCATACCCAGGGTGTCGAACAGGCGTCTCGTGGGGTCGGTGTACACCGGAAACGGGCAACCTGTTTCCTGGAGGTACATGTCGATCAAGCCCGGGTTGCCACAACCGACGACGGCAATGAATGTGCTCATTGGGAGACTGAGCAGAGCGTCGGGGGTGATGGATTCGGAGAGGGTGCGTAGGAAGTCCTGGCAGTTCTGAGAAAAGGGTCAGCAAGAGGGTTATTCAAAGGACGGTGGCCGGCGGGCGTGGGAAACTTACGCCGCAGAAGAAGTGGCGGACGAAGATGACGAGGACTCGTCTTGCAACATTGCGACCGGTGTATAAGCTCTTGAAGAGATGGCTCTTTCCATGACGGTCGAGCACGACATAGTTCTCGATCTTCTTGAGAGTCTCGGGCGTAGGGAGGTCGTTGTTGGTCTGGATCTCGCCCTCGAAGTCGGCGGGCTTCGTGTTGTCGATTTCTATCGAGGTATCTCTGGCGCCATCGCCAGCGCGTTGCGTCGTTGAGGCTCTGGGCGACCTCGTGCAGGTGGTAGTGGCAGTTTTCGGCGGTTGCGCTGACAGGTCGGTTGGGTTGACTCCCTCCTTGGCATCTATCGAGGACGGTCGGAGGGGAAGGTCGGGTTTCAGCTCGCCGTCTGGCGCATCGTGGCCGTTGGACAGAGGTGCACTGTTCGCCTTGTCTTCGTCCTTGGGTTCGGGCGGGGTGTTGACGGCCGCGGCAGCGGTGGGATCTGTCGTCTCTGTGGAATCTGTTGCAGGCTTGGCGTGGCCATTTGTCGGAGCATGATCAGGATGGGCGGTGGTGGCCTCGGTGGGAGGAGCTGACGGCACAGCAGCAGCCATGACGTTGCAATTCGGGTGGGTTTTTAGCGATGGTTCGGGACCCTTTACGTCGCGCACGCGCGCAGTGGGTAGTGATGGGTTTCTGGGCGTTGTTTGAGACTCGTGGTCGACTATGTGGGCGCGTACAAAAGATGAAGAGAAAATCTGGTTCTCGACGGATAGGACGAAACGGGAGGTTTGTTCTCGAGGGAGGCGCAGCAGCTGTCAGTGGCCGGGTTTGCGTGCGTACCTAGTGTGAATAATTGAGGTGGTCAGGAACGGCGAGAGGGGGAAAATAGGCCGGGTTCTCTCAGCTGTGACGCTACGACTGCTGCCAATAAGTGCACCAAAGCCGGGCTAGCCAGGTTCCTTGCCCACTAGCACTTTAGACTCTCTAAACAGGATACATACGTACGAGGCGAACGCCACCAAGAACCGACTGCCGACGTGTTGGTACAGTACCAGTCCTCAAGATGATTAAAGGTTGGGCGCGCACTCGGTTTCTCGGGTGTCGTGGGCTTCTTGGGTTTCCACAGTTCGTCCACGGCTCGTCCAAACACCATGGAAGCCTCCGGGTCTGTCTTTGATAGCTCGAGTGGCGGTCGGCTGGCCTTCATTCCCCCTCCCCTTCCCCCTTGGTACGCGATGTTTCATCTGCGTGTGAGGCCATGGTGGAGGGCCAAGGCGTTGGTGCTCATTAAAACTACATGGTATCATGGCTGGGTCACCAACTGGATTTGAGCGTCACCGAACGATATCGCACATTCATATAGGGCTTGGGCCTGGGGCCAAGACGATGGTTTGTTTGTTTCCATGTCAAAAAGCCAACGGGGAATGAGGTGCCCACGTACTAGTACGACGGCAGCCGAACTAACTTCTCTCATCATGAGACGTGACAATGATACAGTGACACATCCACCCTGGGCTAACACGAAAGTCACCTGCCAACACTGCGCAGCGACTCCCTCTGCACTTGCTTCGCCAAGCCAGGTATCATTTCTACCTTCATTTCTCTGGAATGAACAAACGACGAGTCGATAGTGAACTCAACCAAGCCACCTGCATAGGTACGTACGTACCTAGCCTTGCTCTTAGTAAGCTAAGGAAGGTACTTACGAATACCAGCCCAGTATCCGTACAGTCCTATTTTTAGTGTGCGCAGCGCGACCTCTCCTTGCCGCCATATCCCTGACAGCCCAGTGTATTCTCCCTCGCCTCGCCCACAAAAAGCCCTTGAGAGTCGAGCATGCCGCGTGCTGAACCCGGCAGGTTTCCCATACACAATTCAGGTATCCGTACATGCCCAACCAACAGTTCACAGGTATGTACCAAGTGGCGAGTGACACCGGCCCTCTTCCCCTCAGCTGAGTGTGGTTTCGCGGGCAAGGACGCTGTAGTGTACATACTGTACATACCCATGGTTGTTGCATCTTTCTGGGCCCCATTTCGCTCCTCTTTGCGCCCCTCGGATTGGCCAATTCCGACATAGCTACATCGAACGCTGTACAAGGGTCTCTTCCGATCCAACGCACGAGCCACATATTGCAGTCTCTGGGTACCTAAACTACCTAAATAGGTAAGGCAATTACACGTAGTATGCTCATTCATTCCACCATCAAGTCCACGACTCATATGCCCAAACAACGACATAGCCAAGACTCAATTGACTCGAGTCAAGCTCCCAGGCGTGCAACTTCCGATCCAACCATAGGGCTGCAGCCGCCATTCGTTTTCGGGGACAGCACCCGCACAAAGCTCTCCTGCAGCTTCAAGGACAGCCCGATCAACAGCGTGTTGAATAATTACCCACTGCTGAGACTCGCAAACCTCTCTCCTATCCCATCTAGCAAAACGTTCCTGATACTCGTCCGTGATGGTGGTGTAGGGCGCACCGGAAAATTTTCTCTCTTTCAGCGCACGCACCCAAGTTTCCGGCGTGGAGAACACAGGCTCTCAGGGACAAGACCAAGAACGCTGGATTCGACCCCTCCCCCTCCGGGGAACCGTCGGCATGGCCGCTACCACCTGCTCGGGTCAAACTCAGTCTGATGGCCTTCTGTCTTTGTGATGCCTGGCCTCTACGTTCTTTTCGAACCGTCGCGATGATGGCCTTATTCCCCAGGATGACTCCACTGCTAGCCACTGGCCATACCCCTTAGTTCCTGGCACGACGAGCAAATGTTTATTGTTGATCCTCTGGTCCAGTTTCCAGATCGGCAGCTATCCTTATATTAGCTTGTCAGGCCCTGCTTATAGCGGGCATCATTAGTTTCACAACAATCTCATATGTCACGGATGTCACCATCACATCCTCGGGTCTCGTTTGTTGAGCGGGGGGAAAAAAATTAGTTTCATCATAAGCAACGCCGACTAGGCTGCTTACGTGGATCCTCAACGCTGTAACGCGTGCACGTCAACGCCAACGCCAAAATAACAGCCTCATAACAGCATGGGCTCCATCCCTGTGTATCCCTCATAACCAAATGCCCGTCCATGTCATATCTTCCTGCTGTTCAGCCCTCAAATCCATTGCGGGTATCCTGGTCTGTCTGTTCTTGCGACAACGGGCTGGAGATCCTCCATCTCCGTCTCAGTGATCTCCAGCTCGGCCTTCTGTTGCTCTAACAACTCTCGCTGCGCCTTTCTCTCGCTTTGCTCCCGCAGCAAAATCTTCTTGATGCTCCGCATCTTGATGTATATGTACACCGCTAGGGCGACGGTCAAGACACCTGTGGCGGCGAAGACAACAGTCTTGATCGTACTGTTCTCCTGCTTCGCAACAAGCAGGACACCGAGGTACACCAGGATGATCTGTTTCGGCAGTGTCAAAAACGTCGACACTGCAAAGTACCAGAACTTGACATCGCACGTCGAGAACACGGCCGTCGAAAAATGCGACGGGATGACGGAAAGCCGAATGATAAACACAATCTGTGCAAGGTTAGCGACCGCTTCGCCCTGCCACTGCTGGCAGCTCCAAAGAGCAAAATAAGGAAGAGAAAAGACGGCGTACCCAGAAACCTCCGTCACGGGTCAACCGCGCCAAAGAGCCGTAGTTAAGATTTGTCCTCTCCAGCTTCTGGGCCTTCCGTCGCAGCGTGTACTTGAACGCAAACCACGTTCCGACTGTGTCTCGAGTCAGCATGATCGTCATCTGCAAGAAATGAAGGTTTCGTACTCTCTCCGATAAAGGTACCCGCGGCAACGATGGCGAAGCCGATCCACAGACCGTACACCACACCGCACAGAAGCGCCACGATCTCGTGGCCGAAAAGAGGCGGAAACGAAATCAGGACCAAGATGGCGATCGGGATCAGGAAGCCTCCCGGTAACGATCGGACCTTTTCGGAAAATGGACGCAATGTCTACAGTCGCGCAACGTCAGCACATGGATTCCGCCAACAACTTGAAGGGAGGCGCTGACCTTGACAACTTCATCATGATGAAGACTAATAAGGACAGTGGCCACAAGGATGCCGATACCCAAGAGATGCAAGGCTACAATGTTCTCGGTCAGCTTAGAGCATTCTCAACAATGTTGGAGGGGTCGCGCGTACGAATATACTTGGGCGTCAGGAAGATCTTCTTCCAGTTCAAGGGGCGGTATTCGGTGATTTCGTCCTCATCTCCTTCTCTCCGTTCGCGAGTCCCGGCCATCTCGACGTCGGGCATGGTAAGAATAGCCGTCGACTGTTGTTGGTCGGTCGTGATCTGCTTGTAGGGCGAGGAAAGATGTGGCTTCCTGGCCATTTTGATAAAAGAATGAGGGTTAAGGAGGGCAGATGCATAGTAGGTAGGGAGATGGTGGGATCTGAAATCAATGCGAAACCGGAAAGCGGAACGCACAGCCACCAAACATCAGCCAAGAGAGGCAACGGTCAGTGCTGCGGTTCAGCTTTTTGTCGCGTCGTGGGTGAAGCACAACAAGGACACTCCCTGGACCGGATCCTCGCCGCTGCAGGCATAGTAAGCGGGATAATCCCCCGCATCCTTTCGGGGCGCAGCGAGGGATGGATTTGTCCTGGAAGCCAAGAGACCCAAGGGACGATCCATGGTGAGGAGTTCACGTAGGTAGTGTAGTACCGTGTGAGGATCCTGATTAGCACGGTAGACGCATCACGATACATACCTACGAACAACGCCAATGGGCACAGAGACCGCGTCCTGCTGGTGTTTCAAACTTCTAAGCCGGTCATCACCAAGCTGTCGGAAAATATCAGCCATCACCCGCCGATAGCAAATCCCCCCTCGCCGCGCCGCCGTAGGCACATTGCCCTTTTAGATACGCCAACTGCGAGCCAATAGCTTCGGACACTCCGTATGTTTCTTCCATTCTGTTCAACCCAGAAACCACGTTTGGCGAATGGGTCCCAGGCAGTTCCTCCGGGTCGCTCGGACAAGCCCGCCGGGTGTGGACTCTTTCTCCGCCCTAGCTCGACGGGGGTTTTGACTCTCCCGAACATGCCGTAATTACCATTACCTTCTTCCCTCCAAAAGTTACAGCGACAGGAAACTCTATCCCTTGCGCCACAATGCCATTTATGATTTAGCACTGATCCCTGGTACTGTGGTATGACGGCGTAGGAAGCTTCCTAGCAGTTCCGACGGGAGCCCTACCGGCTTAGGACCCGGCGATCATTGCTGATGCGGACTGGAGCTTACTGGAGCACGCATTTCGGTTGGAGGAAGATCGGAAGGGGAAGCCAATCTTTTGTTGATGAGGATCGGCTTCCAGGCGCGCGTCAGAGAGGTGAACGAAGGGTCCATGTGCAGAGAACACTGGGTAGCTATCGCCCCCGCTCCTCAAGGTCCATTCCATTATAAACTCAACAGGCTGCGCGTGCGGGCGCGCATGAGCTGCTCCAGCTGGGTGTACGGTCGGTCCCCCATGACGACCTATGACCCAGCGGTTCCCGCTCCTGTTTCGGACGAAGGTCAAATCACTCTTGACGGATCTGCCAGTGCATAGGACGGGCGGCTCGGGCAACAAGCCTTCGGCTTTACATTTCTCACGCTTTTGCCCGAACGAGGTCGCCCGGCTGTGCGTCCGTTGGTGCCTCGGATGCAATCCCGCAAGGACATATGTGCGTCAAAGACATGTCATGGACTTCATGGCATGGATTGCGAGTTGTCCGAGTCATATCCGAGTCCTGTTAGAGACATATGCTTTTATGGCGTGGTGGGCGGCGACCACTCGTCCCGCGCGTTTCGAAATGTATTATTGTTCGTTGCGTCAGATCATGATCTGGGCGACTCAACGTGTCGTCAGTTAGACGTTGTGACTCTCTCCGGATGCGCAAAAAATGACGACTCCGAGCAAAACTTTCACCCGGCGAAGGCGTCACGTTTAATCGCTCATTATAACACGCTGGTCCCCGCCCTCTTCTGCGCGTTCAAGGTTACGGAGCCCTCCAACATGCTCGCGGCTGAACTGTGCAGGTCTGCGTAGCCCCGCAGCCTGCGCAAGCGAGCTGTCATGTGCGACGTCAACGGACGCCAAGAAGCATCCGAGCGAGTCTTGGTCAGTGTGGACGCGAAGACGCAGCGGGCCGCGCTCCTAGCGCCGTAGGTTTACCTTCTCTCGTTCGTTGCCGCTGCCGGCTGCCGGCGACTAGGGTTCAGAGGCTGTTCTTGGCGGCCGGCAGACACCTTTCCTAGCGGGGTTCAAAGGCGGACGGGCGGGGCCGGGCTGTTGCCGCCTACAGCCTTCAACGCACGACTCCTCCTCCTCCCCGAAGGAACGTCCTGCGGGGGACGATTGGAACACCTGCTCCGCCCTCCTCCCTGGCCCGATGCATGACGGGAATGGATGCTGGGACTAGTGTGCCCGAAGGGTCTCGAGCTCTCGCTGGATCTTTTACCCAATTATGTTCGCCGTACTCACCCCTTTTCGACGGAACATAGTGTTATTAACAATGTGTATCTTCACCGTCTACTTATTAATGCCCCCCCCCCCCCCCCCCCACCCGCTAGATCCCGTACTGTTGCACTCACTTACATCATCCTCAAAGTCTTGTATTTCGTTATGATCTGTTGAGGTGTAAATAGATGGCAGGACATTGACAGCAACAAGTACCGGGTATAATAAGGGGAAAATCATCTCTGAAAGCTCTGGCAGCTTTAGTTAATAGAGAGATTTAGTTACGAAATCCCATGGTACTGCGTTTCTATCTAGCAACTTTCGTTTGATGTCACGATAGCTTCATGTATTTCCACTCTCAGTAACAGCTCTGTCAGGTGCGGTATCACGTAGTGTTTCATATTCGTTCGCCTATATAAAGGACTTCACTTTCTTCACTTTTACTTACATAGAATTAGGCCAAGGGACTGTCTTATCTTCTCGTACTTCTCGTTTTGGACTATTTGGCTTCCCGCCAGGCTTACTGTCAGTCCTGTTCTGGTCTCGCTTCCGTTTCCAGAATGGGGTGTCAGGTCAGAGGCATCTTACATGGTTACACCGCAGGACCTTCTGCTATGCAGATAACGTTACCTTTAGAGGGACACTCCGTATCAGGGCATTCTTCCTCTTGGACGTGCGCCTTCTTCCTTGAGATACCCCTATTCCAGTCGTTCTGGGAGTTGAGAATCCATACGTTAAGTCATTATCTTAACTCCCGATAACTAATCAACAGTTCTCCGTGGAAGCTTGCCGGCATTTCTGATAGCCAATGTTCACAAAATGAATCATTGGCGGGTTTTCTACGGTTCTGTTGATTCCTGACCCGGGTCTCGAGGACGAAATACTTTCTGTCGAAGGGAACTGCCGGATACCGCTCCTCGGCGAAGTGAGTCCTACATTCTCGAACTTTGCTAGACTTGAAGTATAGAATAGGTCCAGCTTATATCGTTTCTTCCTACAAAGGCCGTCTTGTTTCTGGTTCTATACTTTCAAGTTTACCGAGTTGGTACCCTGTAGTCTCCACCAAAATACTTCTCTTGTTACTCTTATCTAACCGTAAGAAACTGCTGCTGTTCAGCACTTTAAGCCTTCATCAAGCTCCGACTGTTCCTGGGAGTCTTCGACGATGATACCCAAAAGCCTAGATGCACTTCGGGATACTTTCCGCATCATTCATGAATATCAATTTGCTCAGATGGATTGTTTAAAAAAGACAAACCAGCGACAATGTTTTCAACGAGGATATTTCACCGAACGCCCTCCTACAGTATAGAGAGGCGTCTTCGACTTCATGTTTTTCCTATCAGCAATCTTCTCTGGCGTCAAGCGTGTCAAAACCAAGCTCTCGAGAGCCCGGGCCGGCTTTCGAGAGCCCGGGCCGAGCCCGACCACAGACAAGCGCGCACGCCCGTCCGGAAGACCGTCGCTGCAGCAGACCCCAGGCCCGAGACCGAGAAGCTTGCGGACGCCATAGACCTGCACGTCGGAGGCGTGCGAATCCCGTTCAAGGTGTTTTATGTCAGAGACAAGGGCGGATGTAAACACGTCAAAATCTACGCCCACAAGACGGCCGACGACGACGGCGATCCGGACGCAACAAATGACAAGTCGGGGCGAAGGACGCGAATAGAGGTTTCCCTACTCACAGGTAAATGGTGAAAAGACGTCATCGGCGAGATTATGTACGTCGCCGACGGCAGCTGTGATAACGGCGGCAAAGTCATATATTATAGTAATACTAGATATAGCTAGAAGCTATAGAGACACTTAGGGCTAGGTATAGGCTACCTAAGGTTATGCAATAAGGGAAAGGCTGTAGGAAGTGTTTAAAGGCTAGGCTACTAGTTGCAAGCCTTACTATAGATTCCCTTCCCTCTTTATCTTGGAATTTTTGCTTTAGGCAATACAGCTAAGAGTTATCTAACTGTGGCGATTGCTACTGTGATATTTATATTTGATCTTCTACAAGGGGAGGTTAATAAGGTAACAGACTATATACCTAGTAGACATGTAACTATTCTTATGCTTACTAGTAGGCTACGTCTAGTGCTATGATTATATCCTAAGAATCCTGGCCTGGTTATCGATGCATCCGCAGCAACCCCCTTTACCTTGAATTATAATGACTGGATCTACAGAAGCCAATTTACCGGCCAAGGAATCGTTCAATAGCATGTTAGTATCGGCCACGACATTGATATTGCCGGTGCTGGTGGCAAGACCTATAACCTTGACAGCGGCACCATCTCGCAACAACTTGTTCCGGACGTCTTCGTCAAGTGCACAGTCAATGGAATGCAGCCTGCCGATATCACTGCCGACACGCATGATAAGAAGTACGTGAACAATATCGAATGTGTTGAGGATCAAAGACGAACCCAGAAACTGCCTAATCTCCTGATTCAAGCGTTTTTGTCAATTTCCTTTCTTGCGTGACAAGTCGATACTGCTCGAAAAGATAATTCAAACAGGTTTTCAAAGAGCATCCCAAAAGGCCTACCGAAACTATATCGAGACTTGCTCATCTGACGATTGCTATAATATTATGAAGTGATGCGAAGTCTCCTAGTCTTCACAGCAGGGCAATTTTCACCTCTCAAGCGAAATTATAAGGCAGTGAAATGACCTATTTTCCGTTTCCCTCATATTTGCATCTCCTAAATTGACCTCGAGGATAGTCTGATATGATCTTCGAAGGCCTATGACCTCGTATCGCGTTTTTAAAGCTTCTGCTAGCGACGACTCTCACCTCAGTCCCCAATTCGCCAACAAACAACATTACCAAGCGGCGGGTCTGCGGTGCTATCGTAGCCTTGGGTACCATTTTAGGAGGCACTGAGATGTGGCAGACCAGAGGTTCTACGTACCAGGTAATATGCTGTCACATAGCAAAACGATACTGTTAGTTACGTAGGCAGTAACTACACCTATATATCTCGTGACATATAAATCATGATATTCCTGTATCGGGTGAACTGGGTTAGACCTATAGGGACCTAGAACGTTCAACTATAGCAAAAAAGAGAATAAAAAAATAAGAAAGTTTTCACACTCACAACGCCAAAGCGAACACCTTGCAATAGTACTTATCAATGTCCAACGCGGGCGTCCCCTAGCCAGCCTAGCATTAAGTTTGAATGATTCCCAACTTACTCGTAAAGACGAAGGCAGAATGCCCGGTAATTATGTCATTACTCGTAAGTTTAATTCTATGTGGAAGGGAACCGCACTCATGATAAGGAGACGTTAGCTTATGATCATCGTTCGTCTACTTTGGGGAGACTGACCATGTACGATGCTACTCTGTACTGTTAGTTCAAGTATAAAGCATTCGATTATCGGTAATAGTCCTCACCTTTGATCAAAGCTTGACACAACTGATCGCCGCCATTAAATTACAAACGGCTTCCAGATCCGAGGCTGTTAGCAGTTTGAGATGTACTACTGTGATGACGTCACGAGACGAAAGTCTTCAACGATTTCAAGACTGATTTTTTGCATTTGGGCGCACAACTTGTATTCGATATACATTAAGAGCAAATTGAGATTGCCTATCTTGAAGATCCCACTTTCTCTCGATCGGGATCAGATCGTGTCGGTCTGCCTTAATGTTTCTGTAAGTGGCATGAGTGGAAAATTACTTACGATAGCTCAACTGTTAATAGACAACTAAGTCATGAACCATGTTTCCTTCTACAGAAAGAGTTAGGTGCCGAAGACCGTTTCATTAGATATTTGAGTTGATTGGGCATAAATAGAGTATTGAAGATATAGTATATGCTTATCTGATACGCCTCTTTTTTAATCACTGCGATGCATATAGGAGGATTGAATTGTAGTGCACCGAATATGACGTAAAAGCACCGCTTGTGACATCCAACATGCTACCGCCATTGGCATATCTTACTTACCAGACCTAATTAGCTAGCTAATTTGAGAGCATTCATCTGAGTTACACATAGCAAGAAATATCCACAAACGATCGAAACTTCGAATTGAAGATATAAATTTATAAATCTCTCATTTAGCAAATTACATTCGAATAACTTGTGGATGGAAAGAACGGAAAGTGAGGCGTCAATAGCAAGTCCCTAACATTAGATACTGCTAATGAATAATAGAGTTATTAAGTGGCCATGCCAGTTTATTGAGCGACGACGCACCATGATTAGGAAACGTGGCCGAAAACGAGCATGGTGAGCGAACACGATTTCTGACCCCTAGATCCTAGAAATCATGCGGCCTTCGGCCTTGCATTCGCTTTGACAGCACAGGGGTGTGCCACACCCTAACCGGCGACTATGAGAACTATCAGATGGTTTAACCCAGTCGAAGGAGTATATCGTTTAAGCGAACGGAAGGTTAACCATAGAAATTCCCGGAAGCCCACACATGTATCGAGAGGTCCGACATAGTTGGTTTTGAGTAATGTGCATCGCCAATATGATTCAGCACTTCAGCTTGCCATGAGAATCGGGTGAGCTGGGGAAACCCGTCACTACAAAATGCGATAAACTAGTAGAAGTACATCCTGTTGGCCACGGACATAAGAACGGTCTCCTCTGATTGCAGCCAAACGCACAGCAAACATGTCAAAAGACTTGATCTTGTTTGATGCCCGTTCCATGTGTGGCAAGCAGTTTTGAAACTAACGCGGTCAGAATCCTCATGCGAGTGATCTACCTACGACTGTTGTCAACTATTTCCATCATGATGTCAAGTTAATGGAAAGGTTCCTGCTCTTCACTTCCCGGATACGAGTCTTTCTTACTTTTCTTCTTTTTGCCCCCCACCCCTAACTGCAGCCCTGTCACGTTCGGCTCATTCATGTCGATAATACGTCACAGAATCTCGGTTGGGTTCAGGGTCTTCGGGGCCGAGGGGAATTCATGCATCCTTAACTTCCCAGTGTATACTAATTAGCGTACCCTGACGCATGTGATGTGTATCCACCATGTCACCGTTGGAAATGCAATATAATTTAACACCCGCGCAATTTAACTACCTAGCTTACGATCATTGATATCAAGCATTCCTAAAGCGGTATTCTACAGCACTCAGAGATCGAGAACGAAAACATTCGCAGGAGAAGCTTTGGTGGGGATTGCACCCGGGCCTTGTCGCTGATATTCGAAGGTGATAAAGGAGAGAGCGGCGTCACTATTGAAGTTCTCCTACGATGATCGTCCAGAAAACATGGCCACAATACATCGCAGTACGCGTCCTTATCGTCATTATGAGGGACATAGGCTTCTTAGGCCTCACATACTTTTATGGCATGTTTGCGCTTGGCGGCGTTGAGGCCATCTCTCACCCATTCTCTATCGTCGTCGAAGTGGTTGCCGCTATTGAGATTCTGTTCTATTGCCTTTTCTTTTTACCCTACAAATGGCGTCTCCAGAGTTGGAAGCCTTACCGACCTCCACGAATGAGTCGAGCACAGCGCGCTCGTCTATTCCACAAGGCATTGAGCCTGGTGCCGGACGGAGAGGAATTCGTACGGAAGTGGATGCTCAATGCGCACATGGAGGACATTCGTCGAGACAACCTGAAGGACTGGCTATTCTGGGCACTGTTCGAACAAGACACCATGGTTAGCCGACCAACCAAGGATGCTGATCAAGAAATCGAACAATATATCGACGACGCGGAAGAGAAACTCGGAATCAAGCTGAGTCCAGGCAGAGGAGACGCTGAGGCATTGAGGCTTATGTTTGATCCTGTCATTATTCAACATCGCAGCTTACTCTACTATTTGGTGAGTTGAAATTCTCGAGATAATTATCGTCAGTCCCAGACGATTGACAGGGGCCTCCTTCTACTCTCAACTGACGATTTCTCTCGTTAGATTATTTGGTTGCTCGATACCTTGATGACATTATATCTCCTATCACAAGGGTACCGCTATTACAGACAACCCCCTTCAACCTTTTTCAAAATCTTCCCGCTCCGGATCATCAATCTTCTCCCATTCGCCCACTCTGCCACCAATGGAATGTCGTACTGGTGTCGCCCACATCGTTCTACCACAAAACGGCCAATTGTCTTCCTTCATGGCCTGGGCATCGGTCTAATTCCTTACATGTTTTGGCTTCATACTATACCCAAGGACGTCGGCATTCTTGCCGTCGAAATGCTGCCAGTTTCATCCCGTATTACGACGTACCCACTTGCATCAACTCCCGAACTCTGCGATATGATTGCGAAATGCGTGGCGCAGCAACGAGCTTCCCAAACGGCTACTTATCCAGGAGAGAAGGGGGCGTGGGACGACTTCGTTCTCATTGGCCATAGTTACGGGACACTACTGATGGGACCATTGTTACAAAGAGCGGATTTCGCGCCACGAGTAGCGGCGACTATTTTGATAGATCCAGTGTCGCTATTACTTCATCTTCCCGATGTAGCCTTCAACTTCACACGCAGAGAGCCGAAGCCATCAGTGCGTGGGAGAACAGGGCACGGCAATGAGTGGGAGATTTGGTGGGCAAGTGCGACAGATGCCGGAACAGCACACACCCTTGCACGGAGATTCTGCTGGCGAGAGTCACTTATGTGGCGTGAGATTTTGACCCCCAGCTTGCGCGGCGTTGAGACTGGCCCCTATGCCTCTCAGTCAGCAGAAGAGATTGCTATTTTTGGCAATGGCGTCCAGGTCGGAATGCGCAGCACCGTTATTCTCGGGGGGGAAGATTGCGTCACTGCATCTAAGTCGGTGGCTAGTTATGTGCATTCCGGAGACGTTGAGTGGTCATTGGATGATGTTGAAACATGGAAGCGATATCAATGGACTGGAAAAGAGGAGTTGGAGTTGATGTTTCTAGATGGAAAGGACCATGGACAGAGCATCATGGTTCCTTTTCCTCACAAGCCAATACAAAAGGTCATCTACTCGTACTGTCAACGAGACGATGGATTTGAGCCTTTTGCCGACAAGTTCATTGGCGGACCTGAAAGGATATCCAGTACGCAAAAAGAGACTACAGAGGTTTTTAGAGTTGAAGAGAACATAGATTACCGTAGTCAATAGTATCAAAAAATCTCAACTCCATTTATAAATCGTTCGCACACGTTGGAAATAGCGTCAGGAACACTACGGAATGCATTTTGCATTCGCACGTTCTTATTGCACTGATTACTGAGACTCCTTTTTTGAATCAGAGAAAGCTACTCACATGATGCTTAACACTTGGTTGTTTGACATGGTTTATTTGCAGACTTGATTGGTTGAGGGAGAATTGGCCCTCAGAGTTACCCTGAACGTATCGCTGTTGACACTCTATTGATGGCTTTAGAATTATCAAGACTGCAGGTTCGGGATATCAGCCGGCTACATCTGACCAAATTGTAGACAGAAATCCTTGTGAATTGGAAATATAGCTTTATGTATCACGGGAAACCGATACGTTTTGAAGAGTGAAAGCAGTGCTCCGAGATATCAAAGGTCAGTGAGGTAAGTAAACGGTGTTGGTTTATACTAACAGTAATGTCATGAGTTAGAATACAAAGCAGGGCATTGAAGAATTCAGGTCTAAAAGGCTTGAAATACGAACATAAGTATGGAAAGTATGGTCCTACATATGTAATATATATATGTCCGAACGTCATTTCAACCGTTCGTACGCATGAGTCAGTTACCAGAAGGTCTATATGACTGACTAGCCACATTTCCAACCGGCCAGACGACTAGAGCATAGAGAATTCATGCCTCTTATAACCACGTCTTGTTGATGCATCAGCCTATCTGTAGTCCTTCTGACACACATATATATATATATATATGTATATATAATTAAGATGCACGAGTAAGGAGTGAAACGATACGTGATATAGCACATGACGGTGCTGTGACATAACGTGAAAGTGGTTAAAGCTATCGTAACAAATAATCTCAATAAATATCTAGTATGATGGAGATAATGGCACTTCAACCTCAATGATATTAAAAGTGCCAGGTGGCTTCTTCCAGAATTTGATCACCTTGAGTCCAACCGAGTCAAAGAGAGCCAACCACTGCTTTTCTGTGCGCTCCTGCCCAGCCAAACACACCATCATAGTGATATCAAGAGAAGTAGGTCCCAAGAGGCTTTTTTCGCCATCCAAGACATTTTCGTGGATGAGCAACCTACTATAGCCAGGCTTCATCGCGCTTTTCTGCATTTCCAAAATCTTCTGAGCTGAGGCATCAGGCCAGTCGTGGATGATGTGATGCATGAAATATGCACGGGCACCTGTAGACGAGTTAACACTGGATGTAAGATGCCTCTATTACGAAGACTGTACTCTTTATTGGCTGCGGCGTGAAAAAGTTGTACTCCAGCTTGTTGACGTTGTTGGGGATAATTGCTTTCTCGTTTGCGTCGGCGATGACTTCTGGGAGATCTTCGAGATAGATCCTTGAGGCCAACTCTGGGTAGGCAGTATAGAACCTCAGTATATCTTGGCCGATACCACCACCAATATCGACAAGCAGCGGATAATTGGGATCGGATTCGTCAACGAGCTTTTCATGAGGGTACATCTCCATCCAGGCTGGCTCTTTCATTGTTGAAAACTTCTGGAGGATGTTGAAAGTCTCTCCTGCTTTTGGGGTTTCCTTCAAATAAGACCACATACTCTCATGACCGGTTAATTCTTTGACCGGAGTGTCGTTAGGATCAATGGGGTTTTTGTGGCCTCTTTCCGCTAAATGTGCAGGCAAGAGATCAAAGGCAGGGCGAGTGACTAAGAAACTGTGGTTGTGAGAAGGGTTGTATGTCCATTTGTGTAATAATACTCACTAAAAGTCGATAACTGTACTGAACTCTGGGTTGGAAATCTCAACGCAGAATTGATTTGGCTTGAACTTTTCAGTCGGTACTTGCTTCAAAAGTCCATTTGCAGCCAGTAAACGAAGAAAGCGATCTTCAGCCCTTAGTGTTGTTCTCAAGCATTATGTAGGTAGTCGATGACGCAAACAGTACTTACGGAGAAGCTGGGAATCACAACCCCCGACGAGTTCCGCAAGCTCCACGCTTGTCATAGGAATGTTGCCTTTTTCATGCCATTTGTTCATCAAATCTAAGTCCTTAATGACTTTTAATCCAGCCATAACAGCGGGCTGATTGATCTTAGTTAACAAATAGAAGTTTATCACGATAAATTTACTTGCAAGGAACTCACAATGTTCAGGTATAGTCTAGTATAGGTCTCCCATGGTGACTCCAATCTAAAAACGGCTTCGTACGTTGCCTGCAGTGCTTCAGCTCGATCTTCCTCGGACACGAATGAAGACGCGGTGACATCTTTTACGGCGCGCAGATATTCAGTGCCGCGATTGGGTCCGCCGTTAGTTGTCATCTTAAAGTAATTAAAAAGTATGATCAAGTCGAGATTGGCTAGCAATAATAATGGATATCCTCTTCCTGTCACGTTAATTATCTTCAGGGAGAAATCGGAATCTATGACAGATCAGTGTTGCCTATATGAATCCTCAACACCTTGGCTTCTTTTCTGATTACCGCATGGATTTACAGGAGTGCAGATAAAACACCGGATGGTCTGCAACTTAAACGGCCAGACAAAATAATAAGCTCTTTATGCCGGCAACAAACTCCAACTAGCGTTGAGGTACACTAGACAATGAGGTTCTTGGCGGCGAAAGGTAAGATTGCCTTGAAAGGGGGTGTCCGTATGCCGCGTCGCCCGGTTCTAATGCAAACGTTTATCTGTTAATTGCATACTCATATAGAGTGCTATATTAAACACACATACACACATCCACACACCAAGTAACGGTATTCAGGTTATTGGACTTTCGGGGCAATTCGAAGATCGAATGCTCCACGGACCAGCTCTCAATGATCGTTCATGGAGTTTCAAAGTTTGGGTCAGAGCGAACGGATTGTTTCGTTGGAACCTTGACGACCCGTGTCAAAATGCGGAAATTAGCTCGCCAGAGGAAAATGGTAACTGTTGGTATCACAGGCGATCGATCGATAGCATAAATAGCGTATTTTGACTATTGGTCGCTGAAGTTGTTGATTGATTAGTTGAAGAAGAAGAAAGTGGCCACTGCCGTGGATATCACCATGGTGAAGGGGAGCAACCAAGGTGGGTCACGTGACCTCGGAGCGGCTTCACTTCACCACCGGTTGGGCTGGTCGATGATATCGCAACAGTAACTTTACTGAGCTGACGACGTCATACAAATCAGCAAAGCACATAACGAGTTGTTACAACCCAAAAAGTTATAAGCGATGACAGCCCCACCAGACCTTGGGAAGCGCGGGCGGCATAGTCTTTGTACGAAGACAACTAACAAGGGATAGATGGATGACTCCCTGGAACGGAAGACCTAAGGTATAAGTCACTTGAATATAATGCAAAGCATTGTTTATACGCTCCTTAGCAGAGCGCGGGCGGCCCTAAGAAGACTGTATTAGAAATTAGGTAGCAAAGAACAGGACTTATATATAGGATAGACTTAGTGGCTAAAGAGCTATAGAATTTGGTCCTTGAGAGCGACTAACTTGTAATACATTGTATAAACTCTTCTTAGTATCTAATTTTAGTGATTCATTGACAAGACTCATACAAGCTACCCTACTGCCTGCGACCGCCCGACTGATCACTAAGTGATCCACTGACTAGCAAGCTAACCCTACTGTTACCGGGTATTGACCTTAGCTATACTATTAGTGGAAACTCTACTGTCAGATTGCTGACTGTGACACGAATCAGCTGATTATAAACTTGTTCATGGTGGAACAGGGGGGCGATCGGGCCATAACTGCGCTTATAGACCGATGGATACTACCCAAGCGTGCGCTGATCGAGGATAAAATATCAAGCGTTTAGGAGATAGGAAGAACAAGCAACTTTTGACGAAAGATTTTCAGACCTACCTTTCCCCTGATCGGACAATAGCATTTCTAAGATTTACTCTTTATCGTAATAACATACGAACTTTGGAAGTCTCTGCTCCTGTCAAGGTGGTGTACTAAGCCCGTCCATAGACCATTCAGGCAAATGCCCAAAAGATCAACCAATGTTGGCACTTTGTGCCAGCATTGCACCACACATACACTTATTAAGGGAAGTCTCCACTTATTCCCTTACAGCTCCTCTGACCATCTTTAGTTGTATTCTGATTGGGTCACTAGGCAGCCTGACTGGAATGCCCTATAGGCTAATCAGGGGAAGCATCTTGTCTTGCCTAAGTAGGTGGTAGTGTTTGTCTAATTAGATCACCACACAGCTTGGGTCCCCTATTACCCTACAAGTTTTCAAAGGGATTAGTTCTTGTGGTTGGTGGAATTAGGATGATACTATTCTGTCGCAAACTCATATAGTCGTCTCAACACTATACTATGTTGGTCAATGTTCTATGCCAAGATTGATGTCCTTGTGTAAAGTGACACACAAGAGTTTTCAACCTAGGCTTGTAGATTGATATTTAATAAAATACTGTTTTCTTACCTCCTTAACAAATAATGTTGAATGTAAGTTAGTGAACGTGCAATTCTTACTACTTATCTAGAACTGCCTATTAAACTGCTGACAATTTACCTCAATTACGGATTCAGTTTGAATACACTCTGTCGTATTCTTGCGCTTGACAGTAAATCGCAATATATCAGGTTATTTTAGCGCCTTTTATAGGTCTAATTCTTACTTAGAAGGCTTAGACATATTATAAAGCCAAAATTCGCCCAGATGACTCTTACACTAGCATCAAAGACTTTTGAGGCTTCTGAGAAATGTTGCTGTACTGTAAACCTTTGGTTCTTGAGTAATACCGGCGTAACTCTTGATACTCGTACTACTTACACTGATCGCCGGAATTGTTTCAGAATGGGATCATATACGACGAGCTAGAAGGGAGATCAAGGGTTTGAACCGTGGTGGTGTATTGGTCATGGTCAAAAACTTCTTACCGATGCGAGGGCGATTACTCTGATGTTTCCAGCCGTCAAATGAAACAGAACGGCCGGTCTCGTTGATTAAGAACGCTTTTGGCCATTTCCTTACTAGGTCAGTGGTTTGAGTACGGTGCCTCTGCGTAACATCTACAATCAGCTTCCTCTTACTTGAGCCAGCCCTTGCAAAACTTGTTCAACATAACCGACAATTTACCAACCCCAGAAAGAATCTAACCCAAATAACTCAAAGACTTCACAATCGTGTTTATATCTCAAGGTTTGGTATCTGAAAGCCACTTATTAATTGGATTTGATTTGTAGTTACGACGTCGATCATATCAATTGACGATATGATAAGAGAAGCCCGCTTTGGTTCCGTACGATCCCCTTCTGAGAGCACTATATCATTGCTTCGCATCAAAGGGAAAGGCGAAGGGGTTATCGCATCTTTTGAAGCTATCTCTGCAAAACACACAGCTCGACTGCTTGTCAAGCGACATGGGGCTGGTGCCTCCACGATCTCAGTCATTATGCGATGGCAGAATGAGACTTGTAAAATAGTCGCACGATCGAGCAGTGTATAAGGGTTCCTCCATGAAGTAGTTAAGAATAGGAGTTGACTCCGACGTAACGCTTATAGGTTTTCAATGAAAGGGTGACGTAGTACTGCGTCATGAGACCACAACACTCAAGTTCTTGGCCATGTCTCATATTAAGTAAATAGCTCTATTAATGATGTTGATGAGAAAAGATTTACAGGTGCTGTCGTGAAGCTAGATTAGCTTTGTGTGGCTAGTGCCAGCAGTGCTACCACAGGATATAGTATACCACCTGCATAGACTGTCTAGAAAAGGTATTTCTACTACTTCTCTAGTTTATATATAGTTTTTTAATAGGTTAACTACTTTTCTCTTATATAATAAGACATTATAGTTTATTATAGTTATAAGCCTAGCTCTTATATAAAGAACCCCCTAGATATTATAATTAAATCTAGTGTCTATATCTCTTAATCTTTTATTTTAGAACTATTTTTTAGTTAATTTTAAACTATTAAGTTACTATAACTAAAACTAAGAAGTTAATAGACTTTAATAAGTTAATTAAGCTAGTTACTAGGTGTAATTAGCCTAAGTAGTATATTATACTTAAATATTATACCTATAATAAGAATTTATAAGACTATATTAACCTAGATAGTAATTCTTAAAAGAACCTTAAAGATAAGCTAAAATACTAGTTATTTAATAACTAGCTAGTAAAATATAATAAAGATAAGCTATTATCTTAATAGGCTATAATTAGAACTATAAATATTATTATACTTTACTTAATTAAAAGTATATAAAAAAAGGATATTAATAGATTTTTTAATAAGAAATAAGTATATAAAAAAATTAAAGCTTAGGTTTAATCTATAGTTAACTTAGTACTACTTAGCCTAGCTTAAATAAAGATTCTTAATAAAGTAACTAATAATAAAGTTTTAAACTAGAAGAATATATTACTTTAGGCTTTAATTAAAGTTCTTAAATAATATTATACTTTAAATAACTTTACTATATTTACTTTAGTTTATAAAGAGTATTTTATAGTACTTATAAAAGTAAATATTATAATATTAACTATTATAGATAAATATTAGAGTTATTAGGTTAACCCTAATAACTTATTACTAGTAAATCCTTAGATATTTAGCTATAGATTCTCTAAGGATTTATAGGTAATAAGTTAGTTATTTAACTAACTAACCTATAATAATTATTCTTTTTTTCTTTATATATAATAGAGAACTATAGTTACCCTCTATTATTTATTAATTACTACTAATATATATAGTTAACTATATTAACTTATCCTTTAGTGTTACTAACACTAATTAGTAGTTAACTTTACTATTAACTATATAGGTTAACTTTACTATTTAAACTATAGATTAGTAAGGTCTATAAGAAGAAGTAATTATTACTAGTTAATTATTTATATACCTAGAGTAGGTAAGTACTAAAAAACGCCTCTATAAATACCTTTACTATAATAGTTTATACTAATTACCTATTATAATAGGTTAATTAATAGATCTATAACTAGTCCTTTAACTAGTAAAAACCTTATTAATTTATATCTATTATATAAGCTTTATTACCTTTAGAGAAGTACTCTTAACTATAAAAAACCCTTACTTTATATACCTATAGCTAACTAGTAATTATTTACTATATCTTATTTATTATAAGCTTTTAGCTTACTAACTTCTTTTTCTATATATATACTTTTTTACTAACTAATAGCGTTAATAAGTTACTAATATAATAGCTATTATTTTTCTTTTTTACTAACTAATAGCGTTAATAAGTAGCTAATATAATAGCCTATTATTTTTCTCCTAAGTTATTTACTTATAAGAGTATATTTTTTTTAGCTATTTATACTACT